TTTCTCCAGGACTAAGTGTGCAACCTCCATAATTCAATAATCTTCCTCTTACTGCTAAACCATGCACGTTAGCTTCCACTTTACTGTTTGTCAGCAAACTATCAACTCTGTTATTAGATATAGCAGTGAAAAAGCCTCGTGTTGCCATGGACCTTTGGGCAATTAAGGAGGCAAACTCACATAGTGTTTACGAGTACTTATTTCATCAGAACTTCCAGGTCGACTCGCCCCCCCACCCCACCCCACCCCCCCGCCCCTTGGCGTTACGGAAGTCTCCAGTTACCGTGGAGACCCTGGAATAGTTTGAGGTCAGCAGAATCCTGGGATCCGCTGTTTTCACAAGCTAATCCAATCGCTGCTTTCTAAATTAGATATGCAAAACATAAAAAAGAAATGAATTTTCTGCTGATGACCGGGTATGCAAATGATGACTCAATTATGGTGAGCTGGTGCCTTCGCAATTAATAACCTTGGAATCATCATTAACTAATATGTTTAGGAGGAAACTTGTCAGGCTAACCATATTCACCATGCCATCAGTAATGCATTAATGAATTAGATTCATTAGAGAAAAAAGCCGGGCGGTGGAGGGGAGGGGGAGGGGGGGTATCGAAGGCCTTTTTCTGACCTGTGATAATACACGGAGTCATTCAGCCAGTCTGAGGCAACTGGCTCTCAGCTGTTTGGAGACAGACATTTCTGTAAGAAAATGTGGGGGAAAAAATCTATCTTGGTGATCTTTGGGTTGAATTGCACTCATTTCCTTTTTTGATCCTATGAAATAAAATGACACCTGACAGTCACAGACAAGAAGTAACTTTAATTAACATTGTGAGAGTCCAAAAGTTATCTTACAGCTCAATTTTCATCAAAAACAATAACAATCTATACAGTAGAATTTTTTTTAATTCCCTTATATCATAGAGCTGTTCAGTGTATTTGCAGTCAAAGACAAACAGAGAAAAAAAATAGACACCAGCTATTTGGTTTGAAACTTTGTTGTTGTTGTCGTTGTTACCTAAATACAAAACTTTATCACCCATTACTGATATTCATAATCAAGATGGAACTTTGCTTACAAAGATGCCATTGTATGACAACAGACCTCTGTAGTTCATTTGAAACAGATATGATGCGGCCCCCCTCCTGCCCTGGCCCAGACCCGCACAGGCACACAAGTGCCTGAAAAACACTTGTCTGTCAACAGGCGCCTCTGTTAAAACCATCCTTTCTACCCTCTTAACAAAACCAGGCTCTTAAAAAGAAAAGCAGAGAGAAAAGCCCTATTCTCCGTCCAGCAACAGCTTGAAGACACACGGCAGACACAAAGAAAAGACTACAGAAATGGCCATCGGGCCACGGTGCTCCTTTTCATGCTTCCTCACAAGTTCTTGTTCTGTTTAGCTTATAATGAAGCCGTATTGTCCAGCAACTAATAAAGGGAGAGGAGGACAGGGGGATCGGCTGACAGATACTGGAGTCAGGCCGTCGACTCTGTGTGCGGGATTGTAATTGTGCTGTGACAGTGCTGGTCGTCACGGTGCGCCCCTCTGTTCTACAATTTAAGCAACTCTGTGTTAGGATGCTGTGGTCGGTGAAAAATATTAGCGTCATGTTGTTGAAAGTATTTCATTAGTCCCAAAAAAAAGCTACATAATCGCTTTAAAAAGTGTTTCTGTAAACACTAATGTGCAGTGAACACGGCAGAGTCAGGCTGCTCCGACTGCCTTTCAAAGCGTGCCATCGCTGTAGCATTATAGGACATTGGGGTGTGAGTGTTTGTTGAATTATGGCTCTTTGTATTCTAGTCTGGCTTCAGCACCAAACAGAGTGGGTTTGTGCTTCGTCCCCAAGTTCTCATGAATTCCTCTGTGGCAACAGACAATTGTGGTGAGGGTAGAAAACTGTACACGTGATTGAATGAAGAATGGGTTTGCATTGTTAAGGCATCTAGACTGCTGGTAAAGATTACAGTGACAATAAAAAAAAGATTAAAAAAGAGTATATAGATACAGTATGTAAGCAGGCATAAATAACATAGGAACAGAAAGAACAAAGGGGAAAAAGAGGGCAACACAAAGAAAGAAAAACAGAGCATTTTCTTAGTTCTCTTGGTTTCCACACACAAAGAAAGAGTCACTCAAGAGAAGAACCCATGCATAATATCAGTTCAAGAACAGTATCAATCTGAAAGCCTCAAAGGTTCAACAAAACGATAGAGATTTACAGTATATATTAATGTGTGTTTATATCCTTTAAAAAAAATCTACTTCAACCAAATACTCTGAATAAGATGCTACTTTTTTGCAATACAATAAACATTTTCATAAGGAAAAAAAACAACTTTTTATTAAGTTAGAAATCATACAAAAATAGACAATGGCATGTTTTGAATCAACAAAAGAAATTCCAATGAAAAAAAAATCTAAAGAATGAAAAAAAACTTTTAAAAAAGTCACATTTAAATAGTGAGAGACAACAGTACGTAACAAAAAAACACAGTGAAATATGTTCACTTACTGTATTAAACATACACAACACAACAAAACAAAGGTGAGAGTCAATGTACAAATACAAGGGATAAATACATTATTTATAGGATATTTTACAGGAATCCCCTATTTGTATCCAAATCCATGTTTCTCATGTTTAGCAGATGAGATATTGACAACACACAGTAAATCTATTGTCCATACTGAGAAGCTGCCTTAAGACATTTAATGTTTACATTTCAAACTAGAGCTATTGGGAAAAAAAGAAAAGATGCCGGATGGAAAAAAAAAATTAACATCTTTTTATATACAAAAATATATCACATATATCACGCGTTTACTCTAATTTGATATTTGCTAGACTCCATCAGTACAGTGCTGGCTGGACGCACATATCCTCTGGCCTTTCAAGTCTTCACTAAAGTCTCAGACTAAAAGTCAGTTTTGGCTAAATCTTCACCTACCCTTCCCCTGGCAAGCAGAAAAGCATATTGCAAACAGCTCAATCCTCACAGTTTTATTAATATTCAAACAAACAGTCAAACAAACAAACATAAAAGAAAGGGGAGACAAATTAAAAGCATGGTTTCTGATTCTGAAACAGCATAGAGCGATTTTAAGGGATTGCTTTTTTTTGGGGTATGGGGAAATTAGCAGCAAAAACTGAGGGTGATTTTCTCTGATTCTTTATAGAAAAATCTTTTTTTCTTTGTATTTTGTGTTGCTGACCTCAGTTGTTTGGTCAGTGCGTTATGTGGTTTTAATGAGCCGGTTTAGTTAAGGAGAGAAGTTGTGTAAACTTCGTAGCCATAACCAACACTTCTCTGCTGTTCGTAAGAGTCGGGGGCAGCAAGATGGCGTGGGGGCCTCCAGTTTTCAAACCCAAACCTTACAGGCATAAAAATAAAGATAAATTAATGCTCGTTTTTAGAGGTCAGTGTCACACGGAGGGCAAACTATCAGTCTTTATACACTCCATCCAACGCTGTGTCAGAGAAGCTACACTAATTCAGCAAAGAGGGAAATAACATCACAAAGATTCATATTGTCCCCTTTCTTTTTCTTCCCTATCCCTTCAAATGAAATCCCACTGGAAAGACCTGAGTTTAACAGAGTCGTGCGTCTTATCTCGACTTCCTTCAGTTCAGCTCCGGAGCATAAGAGAGACTCGCCAGACTCCACAACAGTGTCTTTTCCTCTCCGCATTCCCAAATCTCCAGCTATCCTTGATTCCTCTACATGGGTGGAACGATCATCCCAGGAATCGCTGCTTTGTGGGAAAAGAGGGGGAGGAACAGGGAGCAAATTGGAGATTGAGGGGTAAGGGAAGAAACAGAGGGAGAGATGGAGAAAGAGAGAGAGAGAGAGAGAGAGAGAGAGAGAGAGAGAGAGAGGTCAGTCATGTGATTGCTGGGTTTCATCTGTCATCACAACAGTCCCATAAGAAAAATGTGCTCCAGCATCTGGTGAACAAAAAAAACGTCTCTCCCTCATTATCTCTTCATTCCGAGGCCCCAGAATCAAAACATTTTTTCCTGCGCTGCGCCGCTAACTTGGCATTCATCTGCAACATTGTTCAACTTTTCAAAGGCTCTCTGTGCAGCTTCATGCAAGAGCTGCCACTGTTAATTGCTAGCAGTTATGGCGTGTTAGCAAAATGTGCATCATGGCGTGTAATTCAAACATGACGGTGATGGGACAGAGACAGAGGTGATGAAATGAAGCTCATTCCGAACATGGAGGTGAAAACTTTGAGCCCGTAATCTTTATTTGTATTTCTGCCCGCCTTTATTCCATGCTTTGGCTTCCAACAGCTACATATTAACCTCACAGCAAACTACCTCCCCCATCACTCCTCTCCCCTCTCCCGTGTTTAACACACAAGCCATCACCAGGAGAAATTTTTCATATAACATATTGGCTTCCTATTGATCCCACCCGCTCTTCAATCCACTAATTCTTAGGTTATTTCCTAAGTGTCCTCAGCTTGTTGGGATTAACAGAATGGGGTGTGTGTGTGTGCGCATGGAAATGTGTGTCTGTGTGATCAGTGAACAGTGGCCACTGGCCCTTGGGTCACTGTGGTCAGCGCTCATCAACGCTACCAGAGGAAGTGAGGAAGTGCTTAGCTCGGGACTCTGATAAAGATTCCCATCCATCATCTCCCTCTCTCTTTCAGGATCTGGACACCATATGACATCTTGCCTAGACGAACAGTCCTTGTGGTGCTTTCGATGGAAATGTTAGAACAGAGTGACCCGTGGTGGCATAACAACCCCCTCCCTTCCTACAGAGACACACAACGGGGCACAGGCAGGAAGCAGGAAGTGAAAAGCGGAAATAGAACACATGTGGTGTTGTGTGTTGTCTCTCTGACAAGTCAAGGGTGACAAATAAAAACAGAAAAGAGAAGGAAGGGTAGGGCAGGATGGTGCAAATGAGCGGTCTGGGATAGTTTGTGCTGCAACGAAAACACAGAGAGAAAATTAACCAGAAGGATAACATACTTCAGGAGAAGGCCAGGCCCTGCAGAGAGCTGGCTGATGAGTACTTGCTAGAGTCCACAAAAGACTGATCTACAATGAGGAAGGAGAGTGAAGGGATTCAGGGAAAGCAAAGAAAGGAAAAAGAGGGTGAAGAAAGGGAGGAAGAATTGGGGAAAGTGTAAAATTGTTATATTGTGATGCAGAAGAAGAGGATCAAAGCTTAAGATCAAAGCTCAGAGTTTAATACATTTTTTTATCTTTGATTTTTTTTACAATTTACACCTTCAATATGCACATCAGTTTCTCCGTTCTCGTTCCTACTTAAATAGATACAATGGGGCAAAATTAGTGACGGCTTACCTTGCAGGCTGTTAGCATTAGCACTGGTGCATGTGGGAGGGGGGGAGTTCTGGGGTCGAACTACGGGGGCAAAGGCGCTCTTCTGCTTGACAGCAGCGGATACCATGTTGGCTGGTGAGAAAGAGAAGATGCCCGAAGAGCTGCTGCAGTTGGAGGGCAGGCTGGTCGAAGATGCCATGGTCGGACTGGACGGGACGACTGAGAGACAAGAGACGGGCAGGAAACCGCGTTTAAGGGGAGGGTAGGGGGTGGAATGTTAGGGATGAGGGACAGGGAGAAAGAATGAGGATAAAAACGGGGTTAGAGAGAGGGCCGAGGGCAGAGGACGGGCAGACGGGATGAACAGAAAGGGACTGGTCAATGGATGATGGCAGGAGGGATAATAATTTGGACTCAGATCAGCTGGCTCAGACTTGTTTTGCAGCCTGTTGTGGCAAAGTGCAATTACCTGGCAATTAGATATTCCATAGCTCAGGCAAAAAAAGTGTTTGTTGGAAACTCACACTGGAAACAGCCCAAAGGTCTTTTTTTCCCCTCTGATCAGTCTGTTTTGATGACTCATCCTGTGCTGAAGGGGAGCAGTCTGTAGATAAACATCTCCTCACATACCCGGGATGCTGACCCCATAATTTGTTTTCAGGGCAAGCGTCACTTTTACCCGAGAAAATGATTAAAGTGATTTTACTTGGCAACCAGGGCCAACAGTTGATGAGGTCTGCTTAACCGTTATATTTATTCAAATGTTTTTGGTGTTTGACTTCACCTCAAATATGGTTTACAACCTTAACTGTGCCCTGAACTATTTTCGTTACTGCCTATAATACAAGAACTATTTCCACAGGTTTTCGCAGTCCATTTTCAAAATAGCCATCTTTAGAATTATATGTGAGGGCACTTACAGCACAAAAAGAATTGTACATTTTCTGTCAAGTGTAGCAAGTTCTGAATAATATTTTACAAAGAAATATTTAATTTCTCCTTTTTATAAGTGGTGTTGTGTCCAATATATAGATCGGCTTAGGTGTTGCTTGCTGCTGAGAACTGTTTCAAGACATTGCTTAAAGCTACTTATAGAGAGAGGAGCAAATACTTGATCTAATCATTAATTCATTTGAATGTACTGCAGGTAAGTTACAGGCTCTATACATTTGCTATACATTACAAAGAATATTTAACCAACAGAGAAAATGTATGGCAATCTCACAAGTTGGCAAAAATGCAGAGTAGTGCAAATACTTGTTGGCTGTTGGCCATTGGTCAGATTTACAGGTCAAAGTTCACCATACTCGGACACTGATCATTGTAATTACACTATAAGAAATTGATTTTGCCATGATGTTTTTCTCCTTGAAGTGTTGCTGTGACTGGGCTTCAACATTAGTATCACATCATGAAAACAACGCCAGATTTAATTCCGTCTGTATTTCAAATGCCAAATAGCAGTGCAGGATTAAAAAAAAAAGCTCCAAACAACTTCTGTGAAATAATTCTGAGATTAAATTGAAGGCATTTTTTACATGGCAGCTGTTAGCTGGATTTACTGTGACTACTGTAATCATGAGCATCAAACTGAGACAAAAATGACCAGATGGTTATCTTCTGAAGTGAAATCCAGTCTTCCTCTGACATCATTTAATCCGTCTATTTTCCCGGGTTTGTCTTTTGTCTGCTAATACACTAAGAGCATTTTCTCCCTCAGTGATTTTACAATCAACTGAGTCGTATTTCACCTGCCCTCTGATATCTGCGTCTGCCTTTATTGTTGTTATTATCCAACACTTAGCTTTTATAGCTCTACCTGACAAATCCTTGCAATAAAGTCATAATCCATTTATGAAGGGGCCTAACTAATCAATTAATGAAAATTGGACCTACAAAGGCAGGCTGAGGGGCCATTGATTGAAAGTGTCTGTGTGGGGCCGATGAGCCTGTTAAAATACTTGTTAACACCCAGGAATCAAAGAGCTGAAATGGAATTGCTTCTCTAGCAATTAGTTTATTGATTTAATCAAGGGTCTTTAATGTAGAGGGTGAATGTGTGTGTGCAGAGGTGGTGGGGTGCACGCATTTCGAAGAAGGTGCGAGATGGTCTGCTCCCTTGGCCAATAAAGCTGGGATTTGCGTTTGACTCTGCTCTTAAAGAAACGGATGAGCCAGCTGAACTGCACGCAATATGCGAGCGTCAGCTCTTGATTCCACTTCTGTTTGTCAATCCCACTCAGAAATGCATTGTCCCATGTTTACATTTCTCCGATTCAGTCTTTTGTATTTCCCTTCCATGCTTGATCTCTTTACCCCCCCACCCCCACCCCCACCCCCATCCCCCCACCCCTCCCCTCCTGTTGTTGTTTTCAGATCTAACATGTGGTGTATTTACTCACTGGCATAAGGCGAGTTGCCTGCTGATCCATTCAGAAAGTTAGGTGAGGTGCCCAGGGTAGCCATGCCAGAGTTAGCGTAGCCATTCATGCTAGTGGAGACAGAGCTGTAGCTACTCTGCTGGGGCGTGGAGCTCGGGACATAGCCATGAGGAGACACACTGCTTGTACTCCTACTGAAACCTATGGACAGGGACAAAAAATGAAAAGAAGAAAAAAACTTGTGTTAGGGGATGTAGCAGATGGGACACAAAACAAGAAAGCCTTCGTGCAGTGCTGCCAACTACTCCGCTCCCAACAAGACTAATGGACGTAGGATTAGAAGCCAAAAGAATAAAAAAGAAAAAATCTTAGATAACATATGGCAAAGCAAGAAAGCAATGAACAAAGTGGAAGAAGAATGATATAAGAGGGATCCAACAACTGAAACAAGCGGCCTTTAAACCCTACTGGCTTCCCTCCAAATCCAGATACATTGATAAGGCAATTAACACTAAAAGGCCTCTGCAGCTCCATTATAATTTATAAAAAATGAAGCTGGTGTCTCTGACAGGAATTATCTCTCTCACTTAGAGAATAATTCAACACAAGGCAGACCATCGTGTATATACATATATATATATATATATATATATATATATATATATATATATATATACTCTTTAAGTTCAAGATGCTGACGGTGGAGGAAAAACAGCTGGAACTGAACATCAGGAATTCCTACTCGTACAGCAAAGACTATCTTTTGATATTGTCATCTTCATTCTTCACAACACGACACTTTCATAATCGACCCTACCTATTCTTGTCTTCCAAAACCTGAAAACAAACGGCATGATGCAGGATGAGCAGCTGATCTCTCCGGTTTTGCCTACTTCTGCAGATGTTTCCAGATGAAGATGAAGGGCAGAGGAAGCTCATTGGAATTATTGAGACACATCCAGTGGCTGGTCCATCCACTCTCCTCTTACTCCCCTGGTACATGTGATGAATCACCACTGACTGCACCCACATCTCTCTCTGTCAGACAGGGGCCGACCCCAGTCTGATATACACACCCCGAGGACCCACTCATATTTCTCCATCTCACTCTATCCATGACTCTCTTTTCCACCATTCTTCACTCTTTCAAAGTCGCTCTTTCCTCCTTTCAAGTTTCCCCCAGTCTTAACTGCTGATACCTTTCCCTTTCCTCCTCCTGTCCTCCTTTTTTTCAAGTCCTTATTTGTTCCGAGCTCTTAAATCACCTCCTTTGAATTTCCCACATGAAAAATAAAATCTCTCTTGCACTACTCATCTTTACTATCCGTGCTGAATAGAAGAAATAAACAAGTTAGTGTCCCTTTCCCCCCTGTGATAGACTGCGTTGATGCATTTGCTCACCCTGATTGGCTGTTTGCGCCACTTCTGACCCGGCGAAGGAGTTTACAGCCATCATGCCGGCGTGGACTGAGCTGCTGCCAAGACCGGCTAGCTGGTTGTGCCCTCGCGGCACAGTTGTATAGAGGGCCTCTGCGATATCAGCTGCTCGTTTCAGAATCATCTCCTGATAAACAAGAAGAAGAAGAGGAGGGAAGAACAAAAAAAAATGCTGTGATTATCAATTTAAAAGGGTAAATTAGTACAAGTGATACACTCTTGACGGAGGCTTTATAGGCTCACAAGAATGCCAGATCTCCACTTGAGATATTGCACATATAAACTCAGCAGAGCCGAGTGTTTTTTTAAACTTGGAGCAGTGGGATTGGTTCCAGTAAATGGTGGGAAGGCTCATTAACAGACTCATCAACTCTTTTGCCTCTCCTCCCTGTTATGCGTTTTCAGTCCTCTCCTCCTTCAAAGTCAAGCGTTAGTCCCACTTCCCCCTCTTCTATCTACCTTTGCACTCTTCTTATTCCTTTTTCCACCCGCTGCAGTTTGCTTTTACTGCTCTTATCCCTTTTTTTCCAACGAGCTGATAAAAGCCCTGACATATTCCCATGTGTATGTTGGTAGAGCCACAGATCTTGGGAAAACACAGCGGGCTGATGCGGTGCTGGTGGAGACTCAGCCTTTGATGCTGCCAGTGGTCTGAGCCACTAATACGATTTTATCCAAGAAGAGATGTGCACATTTGTGTGAAAGACGTGTACACATTTTGTGTTGGTGCGGATGTGCGTGTGTTTGCCGTACCTGGTTATTGTGAGGCATCCCATACAAGGCCTCTACCAGGTCTGCAGCTCTCTTTAAAATCACTTCCTACAAGCACAGGGAGAGGAGGGGATTGATCACCGACGTGAAGGCTCAAAGAATTCAGTCACTTTTATTACGTTTCACCTCTTACATTATGCTGTGAATGCAGAACAGAGAGTGTGAGAGAAGAAAGAGACAAGCAGTGGAAGGCAGAGGAAGAGAAATGGGCCTATCCCAGCACTTTGTTACTGGCTGGGCAGTTTGGGAGAGCAGAGGGAAGATACTGTTATCTGTGAATAAAACATGAGCCTATATCTCTCTATCAGTCAACCATCTTCTACATCCTCTCCTTTACTTCTGCCAGTGACGGATCGTGAATATACCACACATGATCACACATCAATCTCATTTAACACAACATATCATCAGATTGACAGCTACACAACCCGGCTCGCCAGTTAGAGCGCACCCGTCTCCTGCCCTGTATTAACCCCGGTAATGATCCGAGTGAATGGCCCTGCATCCACTTTGTGTGATAAATGTAGAACATCATTGCTCAGGTGAAAACCGCCGAGTGGAATTTCCCACATCAAACATTTATCCTAACGTGGTGTTACCGCTTCTCCGTGATCATTTTCCTCCCTTTTCTCTGTCTCTATTCTTTTTCCTCCCTGAGTGTATGAGTGTGTGACTCCGGGCAGTCGTTATATATGTGCGTGCGTGTGATGTAGACACCTGCAGCCCTACGAAACCCTTTTTAAAAGTTAATGTGCCGGGGCCAGGATATATGCTGGAGGCGCGACAACCAGAAAATTGCAGCCCCCCTCCCCTCCAACCTTCTCCGCGTTTCTTTCTCTCCCCCTTTCTCTTCCACCAGCGCACACACACGCTGTGCGTTATACTCTCCTGAGTGTATCCCTTGCTGTGAACAAGCCCTGGAGCATGTGTGCTCTCTGTTCCGTGACACACCGCCTTTCAATCAGACCTCATATCACACACACACACACACGCGCCCGCGCGCACACAGCAGCACAATCACACATGCAGCTACGCACATGTGGAGGCTGTCGAGCACACCCAAGACATGACGAGAGGGTCAGCAAAGCAATAAAGATTGTAGAGCGCTGTCCGAGGTGCTAAATTCACTCAATAATGGGAGCGCTGCCTCTGTGTTAACCTCCCATTACTAGCACTATCTGGGGGAGGCAGAGAGGGAGGCGGGGGGAGGAGGAGGAGAGAGGAGAGACCAGAGAGGAGGCCTGCTTGAGGTGATTGAGAGATGTAACGGCCCTAGGAAGGTAAGTGGTTCTTTAGTATGTATGCACCGCTTCTCGCTTGCTTCTCTCTGCTTTTCCTCGACGCCCCATGCCTCCCAGGGATTGCTAGATAGGTGGATGGATGGATGGGTGGAGGGGAAGAAGGGGAGGAGGAGGAGAGGAAATGAGGGAAGTGTGAGACATTAGGGCCCAAACAGATCTGCAGCTGGAGTGTAACGGTGTTCTGGGAGGACACATGAAAGTTCAGTCATTTATTGTCTTCCTCTCGCTTAACGAGCCCTTTCGCCGTTCTCCTGTCTGTCCTCCAACGTCTACTCTCTCCTCACCTGTGTCTCCAAGCTACTTTTGTGCCGTCTCTCTCCTCTTCTTCTTCTTTTATTAATCACTCTCTTGTGGTCCTTTGCCATGTCTGTACCTATCAGCCTCTCGTTAGCAAAGGGGTCTGTCCAGTGACTAAACGCGATTAGGCAGTGCTCCAGAGTCATTCTGATAAACAGATAAATGTGGTTAGTGCTGCGCTGCCTTCCTAGCCCTGCTGCTGTAAGAGGAGACCATTTCCTGGGCGCAGGGTCTCTTCCCGTAAAGTCAGGCCAACAGAGACGTCAACAGGAAGGGGAACCTGATCCAGAGCAGGGCCTGGCCTTGTCTGGAAGGTCCCGTCACTCATTAGCTGCGCCCAGACCCCCCGTCCACACCACAACCTATGCTAAACACCCTGCAGTCTAGCTACCCAGCACTCCTTGCAAACTCTCACTGCCCGTCTATAAGCCACAATGCTATAACAAGGTGCTGTTTTCAGCTGGAAACCGGATCATTATCACTGAGTGCGGAGATGGAAAATGCACTGGAAAGTATCCTGCTTTTTCCCACCTCAGTCATGTGGGTTGAATAGATTAGGATTGCTGTCAGTTTGACCTCATTCTGAAATCAACGGAACGATAACAAAGAAGGGGCTTTGCCAAAAGCAGCTATGAATGGACATTTGTTGCTCAAGAAGTTGCCATAGCGTGGCCCGCTCCTGCCCCAGTCTAATGATTGATCCCAACAGTTGGGAGAAGTGTGGTCAACAAAGTGTTATTACCTCAATAAAGGCACAAATCAATAGAGCTGAAATGAACAACCGGGCCTGCCAGCTACCGCTGTTCATTTAGAAGAGAAAGAGACACCACTGAGAGAGGGAGCAATGGGGAGAGAGGAAAAGAGATGGATAGGTACGAAGATATTTAGAGAGATACGGGGGGTTGATAGGCTAAAGACTAGAACTCACCAGGACAAGTCTCACATCCACCAGACACACAGTGAGGACAAGTGATTTCTCCATCCTCGATCTGCTTCTACCTGGACTCTTCATCTCCACCTTATGGTGACTTCCCTGCACTTTGTGTGTAGGCCTGTGCACATGTGGCCATCCCGTAGTATGTGTGTGCGGGTGTGTGTGTGTGCATTTTCTGTGAGTGTGTGCTGCTCCGTGGATGTGTGCTGGAAGTAATAAAGTCCACCCGGGGTTGACTTCGATCCACTGACCCAGCAGGAGGTAAGACTGGACAGCTATGATGGATCACCTAACCCGTTTCTGCCTCTCTGTTCTCCTCTCTCCCCTCAACCTCCTTTCCTCCCTCTTTCCCTCCCTCCATCTATCCCTTTCCTATCCCACTTTGCCAGTCTAAATGACCTTATATGCAGTGGAAGGATGAATGGAGCTGCTTGTGCATTTGCTGCTCCATGAGAGTTTTTTTTCTTAACAGAAAATTACTATGAACATAAGAAGAAATGTTTATTTACTCATTGCTTACTGTTAAATATAATCTGCCATTGAGAAAACACACAGATTCCCCTGTGCATGTGGTCATTTAGTCCCCTGTACCATGTATATCTGGATATGCTCAATACATAAAAAGTTTTCGATAAATGGCTGTTTCTCCTTGGTTTTACGATGACAAGATCCCGATGAAGTAGTTTCACTTGGCAGCTGGCAGTGGCACAAATAAGTGGGAGAAGCAGAGGCTCTGTACCTTGGGTAATCTCTCTTGGTCTCCAGGGTGTCTGGGGATCACCTTCTGTAGTCTCTGGAAGCCGTAATCTATGGTTGGCTCATTCAAGGCTGAAGAGAACAAAAGGAACGGACAGACAAAAAACCCATTAACGTTGTGAGTCTAAATGACAAAAAAGTCAACTATGTTCAAACAAGAGATACAGCAGTAAATTTGGCTGAATCAAACACGCCTCAGCACAAATATTTCAGCGTTACCAAACACTCTGGAAATAAAGCGTTCCCTATTAAGCCTGGTGTGTCTTTGTTTGACTGTAATGTAATGAATCTCTCTCCATCTTCAGCTTTGGCGGTTAATAAAAAGACCATCAGGAGTGCATTTGTGTGCGTGCATGTGTGTCCTGTGGTCTTGCGTTGATCAGCGACTAATATAAGCAATTACGGGGCTTGGTTCCAATATAACAAAGGCTGGATCGCTCCAGGGAACAAGCTAAACACACACATGTGGGGACGTGCTTGCATCCATTCATGTGCACACGTAAAAATCCACGCACATACGCAGAATCAGATCATCCTGGCAGCGGGGAGAAAGCACTTTCTCTGTATGCTGTGGTCGCGCTACGGTAATTGAATATGAGAAGATTTACCATGAATATTTAAACATTAGAATAAATACAATGAAGATCTGAGGCTTATAGTACAAACACTTCAGAGGAGGACTGTTGGATAAGTGCTCTCTCCACATAATTCATTCCTAATGTACTGTCTCTGCCTCTGTCTGTCTCCCGTCTTTTTCCCTCCTCCCTCATTTGCGGGCCGCCTGGGGAGTCGATTCACAGTCTTGACTACTTTTCTGGGCAGCAGCGTTTAAGCCCCTGCTTCTTCACATAGTTTGTGCTTGTGTGTGGCTTTAAAATGAATAGATTGGCAGTTGCATGTGTGTTAGGAGAGGAAGAAAAAGGAACCATGATGACGATGGCTTGTGTGTGTTCGTGCCGCCCGTCTGTTTCCCCTGTGGGTCGCAGCCTGGACGTTTCCTGAGGGCTGATGCCCTGCTCGCCTCACATCTGAGTAGCCAGGCTGACTAGGCGGCCCCCAGAAAAAGGCCCCTAGAGGCTATAAGTACAAGCTGTCCTGCTGGACCTCTAGTGACTTCGCCTCTTCTTTGGCTGCCCGCTCACACAGACTCACACACACACTCACACACACACGCACGCACAAACCGATGAAGGAGCGCGGGAGCAAGAATAGGTGATGCTCTGTTTTGGCAACACAAACGTATTTGGACAGCTCTCCCAGCGGACCTCTCCCAGTAATCCATAAGAGTGAATGAAAGGAAAGGTGAATAGCTAGAAGCAATGAGTGTACAGCAGGGTGGAAGCAGGAAAAAGGGTGCCAGAGGCAGGCTCATATTCCAAAGAGCAGAACACATTAGAGGTCAGCTGATCCACCGATGAAATAACACAAAACAAAGAGACGATCACATGCAACAAATAAAGTGTGAATTATTACTGAGGACAAATATTTGACATGACTTCCCTGTTGTCTGATCTCTCTGAAGCCTGAAGGAGGATTTGCCCCGGATTAGGCCTGCAGTCTGAGGAAGGGATTGTTCCGGCAACATCCCTGGTTTCGTCTCAAAGGCTTTTGTTTTTATGATGAATTTTTTATCAGTTCTGCTCAGTGTGCTAAATGAGCCTCGAGTGAACAATAGCATAAAAACCCTAAGACATACAGAGATACCCCTATTACAAATAAAGAGCCAATTTTGGTAATTGAGGGAGGAAGCGATATTGTCTCAGCTCGTTTTCAAGGTCCATAAACCAGAGTATGTGGGGGGACAACACACCACACTTCACTAACTACCTGGCTGTGTCTCTTTGGGGATTATGAGGACTTTTTATGCCTTTGTATCCATGCTCAATATCTTATGTTTCACAAAAGGAATTAGTGCGGGTTTAAAAGGAAAAAAAAACTCCTCAGCCTCAAAAGATGAGTAGTGGGCTGCTACACTCCAGGATTCAAAGCACACTCTCCTATACAGGTATATTTATAATCCTTAGCTGTCGCTCTCCAGAAGAGCAAATCAAAGCCAGTAAAACATAACTGCCATAAATAAATGAATAGATGAGCAACAGCCCTGGACTGGAGGGATTCACCTAGCAATCACCCACATCAGATCAGATCAATGCTCATGGAAATTTCATGAAGCCTAGAATCCACATCGCTTCATATTTCACTATAATAACCCACAGAGCCGCAGGGGGAGTGTGTATGAAGGGGTGAGGGGGCAGAAGACGGAGGAAAGGAAGCCTGGGTAGAGGGGGAGCAGGTGGAGTAAAAAAGGGGAGGATGCATAGGGCTCAAAGATGAGGAGGGCCGGGTGGGGGGTAATTGAGAGGTCAGAACAGTGGAGTTTTTCTGGAAACAGAAAGCTAGGTGGAGAGATGGATGAGGAGAAGGAGGGGAAACTGCATTCAGTGTCCACTTGCCCCGTCTCCTCCTCCGGTGTCACAACAGTGTGTGTGTGGGGAGGTGAGCGGGAGTGTAGTTGCGGGGTTAGGTAATTGGCTCTGAGGCTTGATGTTAACACCTTAACAGGCCCTCAGACAGCCAGTAAGGAGCTGATCATATCACAACCTTCTGTTTCTCCCTCTTTCCCACCCTCTATACTCTGCCCGGCACCCCTCTCCCTCATCGCATCTCTTTTTCCCTCCCCCCTCCCGCTCCCTGCCCCCCCCCCTGCAGTCTCCAGTGCTCAGGTGTGATCTCATAAGCGCTGCCTGCCGATCGATGCCGCCAGTGGCAGGGGGTTCAATAGCCCTGAATTACGGCTTCATTTCTGCCCCCACCCTTCCTCCCTCTGCTCACACAGATGAGAGCTGCCCACCACCACACACACTCACACTCCCGCAACACCCCCCCCAACAACTACTCACAATCCAGATCAATACCTTACAATCTAATTTTTATCCATTTTTCCATAAACCCTGAGATTGCGTTTATTTGCAGAATCCGACAAGCTAAATAAAGCATCGCTTGAACATGTCAGGGAGACTAATGCATGGCTGGAAATTCATACAGAGAAAACAGATGAGTAGAGCTTTCTGCTCCAAAAGGTAGGGAGAGGCTGAACCTGGGAGAAGGAGAGAAGGAGGGAAAAGTGGAGATTCTACAAATCAATGGAGATGAGGATGCTACCAGAACCTAAGCTCTAATTATCTGTTGCAAAAAGTGCACATCGACAGTTAACAATACCTGACAGCACAGATCCTCACGGGCAGAATGCAAATTAAAAAAAAAAAAAAAAAAACTGGATGGAAAGTGTGCGCTTGAATTAAGATATAGGAAAAATGTAAGAAATCATCCCCTCTAGTGAACGCTGCTCATTTCAGTGTGGTATAAAATAATCCACATTCGAAATTCATTTACATCATCATCACAGAGCAGATGCTCCTGCGATAGGAAAGGAGCTTGCTAAAGAGGGAGGACAAGTCACATGGTGCAGAAAATTAATCTCAAATTTGAAAAAAGAGGTGTGAATTTCCTTGCAGTCAAGACTGTGTGCATAAAATGTGAATGTATGCAGCTACCTCAGCTGGCCCTGCCTCCAGTTGTAGACCGGCCGTTTTAATCAACAGCAGGCATCCGCCCAAGCTCAATAAAAGGCAGCATTCACCAACAGGGGCCAGATAAGTAATTGACCAGTTCGTGGCTGAACCCCACTTTTATTACCAGATGACTCCATGTTCTATTTGTGCATCTGTGATGAGCAAATATCCTCATGCATGACTGTACTTGCATCTCAATTACATATCAATGTATGCTGCTGGGGGTAGTGTTAACTTTATGAGAAAGTATACACAAGATCCTGCTAGCTTGCGTGCATGCAATTCTATGAAAATATGCACAGCTTATGTTTACAAATCCAACTGATTTTCAATCTAGTCACTTTTTCAGTGTGTCAGTACAATGTGGAAGCTTTCAATTATACCTTATGTCCAACTTGGCGTCATCCGCACTTAACTCCAGTGTGTCAGTGATAGACAACTGACAGGGCTTCCTGCACTTCTAAAACTAATTTGCAGCACAGAGGCAGCCACACAGACGGAGCGAGATGTCAGCAGCAGCTGGTTTAAATTCTGTTCTTGACTTTTGTCTTTTCCCCTCGCTGTCCCCGCGCCTACTGGCTGCAGCTGACTGATGTTTCCCACACATCTAATCTGCACTTATTGCTGAAAAAGTTCCCCCTAATGTTTGTGCGTGCGTGTGCCGGTACCGGCCTTAATGTGAGCCAGCAGAGCCTTTTAATATCTGTAGATGCTGTGACGGAAGCGCTAAGCAGACAAGGGCGCACGCCGAGGAGGGGAGGGGGGATTGCCTTTTGAGCAACACCGGTGATTCATCAACTCCACCAATCTAAGGCCAGTATCCCCGTGTCACACACACAAGCACACCGACACACGCGCCCCACAACTGGAGCATTATCGCTTTGTATTGCGCGGAGAAAAGCAAAATGGGGAGGGGGCTTCCCTGATGAATGTTGCGCAGACCACAATCCAGTAAAAGGTGATGCACAACCAAATATGGAAATGCGTTTGTACAGAAGGGCGGAGGGCAGGCAATGACCTGATAATGAGAGAGGGAAGAGACGGAGATTAGGGAGAGCACTCAGCCCCAGAGGTGGCTAAGGCAGAGGGCAGAGAGTGGAACAGAAGAGGGATAAGGGGATAAAAAGACAGAGGAAGAGCAAGGAGTGGAAAGAAAAAAAAAACACTCTTTTATTCTTATCAGTGGATAGCTTAATTGCCTTTGATGAATCTAATTGGTGCTTTCTGAAGTCTAATGGCTGAGGAGTCCTCAGAGACAGCAGAAGACACACTACTGTAATAGCTTCTCAGTAAATCTCAACTGCACCAAAAGTCCCCAGCTCGTCTACTCGGTCCAAAGCTACAGCTGAATTTTTGTCCGTGCGGTGGCGGCCGGGTCTGGCTAATCAATAATCACGCTTCCTAAGCTTTGGGTAATAAACCTGCAGATAGGTATATGAGGGTGTGTGTGTGTGTGTGTGTTGGGTATGTTTGCAAAGCAGCGGTAGCAGCAGTATTGGGTATGTGTTGACTTAATTAGGTCTGTGAGCTGCTCGCTTTCCTCTCCTCAGCAGAAGTTGATTAGCAATGCCAGCTGTCCCCAATGTAATTCGGAGTGTGCATGTGCGAGTGTAATCGTGCATGCACATGTAATATACGAGTATGAGCAAGTCTGATAGTGTGGGGTTGTGTTGATGTGTGCTAGCTGCCAGCTGCCACACAGTGCTGCCAATCCTCTATGATTAGTACCCACTGGCAACTGGGCTCAAACTGGTGCCAAACAGACCCAGGAGGGCAACATGGCCCATGGTAATCCTCCATCCCTCTCTCCTCTTTCTCTTCTGTCTCTCTCTCTCTATTTACTCACATCAACCGCTTTCTTTTTTGTTCCAAATGCTGTGCTCACCCCTCGCCGTTACTCTCCACCCCTCATTCAAGAGACCCAAAGTGGGCAGGTTCCTCCTCTCTTGGATGGAGCTGAATGACACAAAGGGCTGATAAACGAGCAGTGTGAGGGGTATAGACCCGCTGTGGCTACAGAGCAGTAGCGGAGGGGGAACTGGGAGAGGAGTAGGAGCTGGGGCCCCGTGCCTCACCGCGGTTGATTGTGTGGCTGTGAAGATGCCAGCACTTGGCAAAAAGCATCACAGAGCGTGTGCCCAGCTGCAGCGGATAACCTGCGCTACCTCTCACCTGTTGAGATTCTTCTATGTGCCTCCATAAAAAACCAAAGGCAAGAGGGGGAGGGAGAAAGAGCAAGAGAAGGAGGAATTCATTCAAGGAAGCAAGTTTTTGAATAAGTGAATGCGACAAGGTGAAAGAGCGGGAAGGGCTGGGAAGCAATAGGGCGTTATGTACTCGGCCCCCGAATGTCTGGCGCATTAAAAGGCTTGCGCGCACACCTGCACACACTTATATGTGTACAGCTCTGTGAGTTTGGCATGCTGCGGGATGTTGGACAGCTCCGGCATGGCAAAAGGCTGCCCACCCATCTGCCCTCTGTCTCGGTAATGCAGTTACTTGTCAACCCGCGTGTGAGAGCTTGAAACGTGTTCTCACATACGTGCAAGCAAGCAACAGCATACCGCTGGCGTCCTCTCCATAAATCTACCCTTATAACTGTGACTCATGGCTGGATTGTGTATACGCACTGTAATTAGGACATGCATAGGAGACACAGAATAAAAAAAGATACACTTTTGATATGACTCTCACACACAGACTCAATTGTGATTTTGTCAAATGTTGGCAATTCCAGCTGGGGCTTACTGTCTAAATCTATCAGTTGTTGAGATTACAGACAGATTTATGTGATTCACAATCTCTTAGTGGAACTGTGACCTCGCACTGGTCAATTGTTGATTCGCGTTCACTCCCACCATCGTTGTTCCTCCGCAGGGCTCTGACTCTAACGTAAACCTTAAGCCGTTCATCCTCCGGCACTCGCTGTAAAAAGTCCCACTCTCCGCACGGACCTCTGTCTTTTTAAATCACACCTCGGATAGGGTTAATTCTCAATAATCCCAGCGATCAAAAGGTTAACCTCCATTTGACCTTCACCTGCATCATAAAATAGTACCCCCCCCTAACCCCAATGATTATTGAGTCATGTTATTGAATTTTAAATTGTTTAGCATGCAGGCTTCTCGCCAGACATGGCGTCGAGTGAAGACTGTATGAAATGTTCACCTCATCACTTTTAGCAGATAAAAGGAAAAAGATTAAACGAGCTGGTGTGCAAAGATTTGTTGTTTTTTTTTATCACATTATAGCTTGTTTTATTTCCCATCTATGCTACATTCATATTTTGCTTGGGAGATTGAAAAAAATCTGAAGTGAAGCCGCATTAGAATAACCAGTGGACCGGGAAAATATTTCTCCATAGACTGCGCTGCATATTAGTGTCATTTGCAAGTATGAGCAGTTTGGGCAGTACCTGTGTAGATGAAGCGTCCAGGCGTGCCTTTGCAGAACTGTTTGGATTTGTAGGACAGTGTGACTTCCACGACCCCCGGGATGTGTCTGGGTGGAGTTTGCACGCGGATGGCGTGGGGGGTGATCAGCTGCATAGAGGGAGAGAGGGAAGGTAAATTAATGCGACGAAACTTAATATCTTATAATGTGCTCGGGGGACTTCTCTCGGGTTGTCTCAACCCCCACCCGTTATAGCATTGACTTTCTTTTCGTATAATAAGCCTGAAAATGATGTTTTAGCTCCAAAGCCCTCAGGTGGCCTCGTAGCCCAAGGCAATGTCACTGTGAGGCTCAGGATGGTTATCAGTGCTGACACGGACTCTGAAAGAGGGGTTCCAAAGCAGTTATCTGTTTATGAATAAAACACACTTTCCCTCTGCATACACCCATTGAACAGTATAAGTATATGTATAATCTCCTCGTCTCCGCTGCCCTTTTCTCTGTCTGTCAGCTGAAACTGTCTGGCTGCCGTTAGCGACATAAAAGCGCCGCTGCGTCTTAAACAGACTCACTTAGTGCGGCTGATGAGCCCGCTCGCATTGTGCGCGTGCAGGATGAAGAGTCTTTGAAGGAAAGCGGTAACATGACAAAACACAGATGAGACCCCACCGAGTGCTCGTTTTCTGCACACCATTGTGGACCGGCTCTCAAAGCTAGCGGTGCTCAAAAGCTATCAGTGCCGCTGCCAACAGTTTGTGTATGCCATTGTATGCATGTGTTGTTCTAACTGTCCCTTTCATTGCTCACTTAGCTAGGCTTTCATGCCACCATTGTCTGGCCTCACTCACCTCTCAGCGAGATAATATAGGAGCTTTTTATAGAATGATTCTTTTACAAAAGAGAAAGCTGTTGAGCTGTGCAACTCATTGACCTTCAGTTTCAAACTTACAGTGCTTTTACATTTTAGTCATGTGGCAGATGCTCCTTACAAAGACTGTACAGTGAGCATATATTTCAAGAAAGCAGATACCGAAGGTGTTTAAAAAAAGACAGGGGGGGGGGGGGGGGGGGGCGGTGAATGTGCTAGAAATAAGAGCTACTGCAGAGAGAAATTAAATAGGAGGCTGCAGCTCAGGTTGGAAAAGATTTTTGACACATGATTTCACTAACCATCAAACAATTAATTAGAATTTTAATTTTGTTTTAGGAGATTTACAAAGGCCTTTGATCTGCTTAAACTGTCAAAACAAAAAAAAGGACAGAAAATATGTTTTTGAACAACAGTGACCAGGTTATTAAAGCACTAAGAAATTACACTAAATGTTGACAGAGCGAGTGAAAAGAAAACATCCAGTTTGAATTGTTTATCGAGGAAAGTTACAAATGCACTTTTCCACATATGAAGTAAATGTTCAAAGTACAAACACATTGATGCCTATAAAAGGGCTTTTGAGCAACAACAACACAAAAGAAAAAAACTACAAAAAAAAACATAAAAATGTTCAAAAGCCACTTTTTCTAAAATGTGGTCTACTGACCCTTCATCAGCTCTGATACATGACCAGATGACCACTAACCTCACTCCAGACCAGCATGGTTCCAAATATGACTTGAAGGCCGTCAAAAAAGTTGTCCCCGATGATGATGACTGTTGCCCCCCCTGTGGTCCAGCCTTCGCTGGGGCTGATGGCTTTGATGCTGGGGGTTGCTGGAAAAAAAATGAGACATAATAGATTAGGTGCTAACTAACAAAGTGAAAGGTCTTTACCATTGGCACTGTGTACTGTCCCTTTTTCTTTCCATCTCTGTCTCCTGCACACACACACACCCACACACACACACACACACACATACACATGCACAGAGCACCTCTCCCCTCTCTCCCAGGGGTCGGGGGCGAACGCGGAATACTAATCAGAGTCATTATACGCACCCCGTTATTAAACATCACCCCTGCCCTGTGTGTGAGGACAGCGGCAGTGCGCTTGTTTTATGACACGTGGCAAAGCGTGCGGGCGTGTAAATGTCAGGTGTGCTCAGTGTCTGATCAAAGGGCACGGGACCGGGGAACAGAGGAGAGCCAACAGTAGCTCTGCCCTCTGAATATGCCGCCTTCATTAGCCAAACACTTAGCTTTCGCTCAGCTGTCTGTCTCATATGTCTGGGTGGCAGCCCTCGCTCGCCTCCTGGCCGTGGAGCCCATGTGGGCTAATTCATGCTCCTGCTTGGCACATTTGTCGAGATTTGTAGGCAAGCATCTTGAAGCGTTTTCTCCGCAGCTTATTGGCCAAGGTGCAGGAAGTAACAGCGCCATCCTACATGTCGGATAGCCGCTTTTCAAAGTGCTTTCAGACTCTGTCTGTTAATGTCGTGGACTTGGAGATTACTAGATGTGATTGAACAAAAGAACAGCAATGGGAAAATACATGTTTATACAAGCTAAATCTCCTCTCCTTAACAGATATGCAGCTTGTCAGACATGCTGTAATTCTGTAAAGCGGCATAATCCACTTTAGACTAGGCTGACTTTTTCCCTGCAGCCTTGCTTATGCTCTCTGCCTGACTCCCTGTTCTGTTGATCCTTCCCAACAAGCTGGAATGATATTTAGCCCCCCGATACGCCTGCAGAGATCAACGTTCACAGAGCAACAATCTGTGGCCGCAATCATGGCCCTAAGATGCCTCTCTTTCACAGCCGCTGATATTATGTGCGCTCAGTGTGCATGTGTGTTTGCGTGTGTGTGTGTGTGTGTGTGTGTGGATTAACCAGATGGTGGAACGTGAATCCATGTGATAGGATTATACTTTGGGGTGTTCCTCTGTGCCATCTGTTCAACTCTACGCACTGCTCATCTATTACCGTTTGATGGGCCCCAAAGTTGTGTATCAGGCTCACAAAAGCTGCCCTCCCAGGAATAAAGAGGGAAAAGGCAAAAAAAAAGAAAAAAAAGAAAGGACCCCATGTCTTCTCTTCATCATCTAATCTTTTCTTTACGACACACTTTCACCCCTGTTGTATCCTTGCCTGTATCTCTCCTTGCCCCCCCCCCCCCATTTTGTTCTTTTGCTTCCCGTGTTTCTCCTTTTAACTCCCGTCATCACCAGAACAGAGATTCAGAGTCGAGGAAATTCCCAAACAAATCTCTCTGGCATAAAGAACATCTGTTAGCACACAGTGTGTACTCTTCTTTCTGTGTAAGATCCAAGAATTACTGACATCTCCAATATGTCTCTTCTTTGTGAACTTTTCTAATTATCTGTGAGACCAGTCATAGGGACAAGTGGTCCACTTTGTCTCTGGAGAATAGTCATTAGAAAGACTTAACCATACCATTCAATCTTAATGCAATCTACTATAGGCCATCATGTAAATCCCTTCTTAGTTTTTTTTGTCATTATCATCCCTGAGGTTGACTTTCCTCAAAGAAGAAAAAAAATATGTTTCTCTTATTCAATGTCTGGGAAATCGAAATGAGAAAATAACTGGATTAGGGACTTGGGAATCAGTGCAGGCTCCTAAATCATGTGCACATGTCATTATGAAGTATTAAAGGTTTTGGTTTGACTGTGCATGTTTGGGGGGGGGGGGTGCGTGCGCAGGGGTTTTTTAGAGCGTGTCTGGGTGTGTTTGAAAACCTGAGGGATAGGGAGTGATGGAGGACTAGAGGATAAAAGCAGGTCTCAGAGGAAATAAAGCCAGTGTTGGCTTTAAGCAGAACAGACCTCATAAGACACATAGTGCTTATGTGAGGCAGTGTAGAAGACCCAGAAGCACAGACCGGAGGGGAGCACGCCACAAGGGAGAGGCAAGAGACTCACTAGCTACCACTGACTCCTTAGCTAGAGATAGGGACTCAACAAGAGAGGGGTAAAGTCAGAATCCAAGCGGAAACAGGAGAGAGATAATAAAAAAAGCCTTCTAGAGAAATGGGGACGAGACAGAAAGAGGGGCTGAGAGTGAGAGCCAGACGGGGGGGAAGGGGGATGAGAGAGGGGGGAAGAGGTGGAGGGGGAAAGAAAGCAAAACAACAACAAAAAAATAAGACAAAGACAGCTACCATGGAGAGTCTGGGCTGTTTTATTCTTGATTTCAATACCATGTTCCAGGTAGGAAGGTGTTCCTTCTGAGGGGTCCAGCCTTCGAGCCCGGCGCCCGTGTTTAGAGTTGTTGTGCACAAACATGTTGTCGGACACGGCCAGGACGTGACCCTCCACGCTCACCGTAGTCGACACTACCACCTGAGAAAGGAGAAGTCAAACTGAGGGCTGGCCTTTTAAACAATAAATATCACACTCTAAAGGATGCTTGTAAAAAACACAAGGGAGTTAAATAGTTGGGTTTTCTGTCAGTGTTTCATGTGCAAGTGAACCTATATCATAAAGAATACAGGATATAGAGTACAGTACCACTTCCTCCTCTTAGGAAAAAAAACTAAATTGTATACAGTATATTTATCTGGTACCAGATCTATTACAGTGTGCATAAATGCAATTACAGTGACCAACAAACCTGAAATTTCTGACTTACTGAAGTTGCAGATCACTTTGGTTTCTACTCTGTTTTGGAATTTACAAAGTCCTGAGCTTAATTTCAGACCTTTTTTTGTTACACAATAGACACCACATTTTAACCAGCAAGCCGCTAACAGACTGTTGAATCATGTCAAACAGATGTTTTTTTTAATCTTTTTTTTCATTGAAAACTGAGGCTGGCTGCCACCAAGAGCAATGTAAAAGGAACAGTGAGAGCAATAGTCAAATAAAAAAAGTCTGATAATGCTGAACCATTTTTCAAGACTTTGTTTGATCGTTCATTAGTTTCTCTCCTGAAATGACTCCAGATCACATGTTGATAACGCAAATAATATTTATGAATAAGAAATTTCTAAATCAATGAACTAATCAAGATTAAACAAGATAACTTTTCTCTTGCCATGGGTCTGACCCTTACCCTATGAGCATCGAATTGAAGAAGCAAGATCGATCCACGAGTCAGGCACTTTGGTTTAGCTTATTGAAACATTAATGTTTAGGGAGTTTATGACCCGCATTTTTCCCAAAAAAACACAAACAATGAATGCCAAAAGCATTAATCTTAAGAGGCTATTGTTGATCTTGGTGGAGTGACCTCGACTTTTGCTGTTCTCCTTCCAACCTTTGGTGAGGCATACCTTGTGAATGCTTTGCTTAAATTGTTGAAGAGGATAGTAATGCTGTGCCTTTCATTCAAGAGCCCCAAAACTCTTTAAAATACTAAAACCTTGCAGCTCTCATTTAATATCCACTTATAGAGGCCCCGTTACATCTTGAACGCATTCAGACGCTGGTGTCACCTGAAATCGCCTCATGTCTCGAGGGTTCCCCGCATTCTTCAGGCAGTTCTGGTTACACTTCAGGAAGAACTTGAGGAAGAACCTGCGCATGCAGAAATAGAAGCAGAGTCAGAGTCGGACGAGTTGTTGAAAAAGAGCATCTGTGAGCCATTAAAAGTTCAGCGTGAGCCACTTCAATAAAGCGCAGTGTACAGATAAAACAGAAACTGCACTGGCAGACAAGGCTCTTACACAATCCAATACTCATCTAGCCCCTGTTTATGACAAAGACGGTTCGCTATGTAGAAACAGCTCCAAGACAGTGAATAAGATGCTCCCCTGTATATCTATCTGAGCTGCTGTCACGGCTTGCCATAAACCCACCGAGATAGACCCTAACAACCCCCCCCCCTCCAGCTGTGACCAAGGTTGTGCTGTAGCTACTCTGCAGCACAGTGTTGCCATTCCTGCCTCTCTCAATCTCAGTGTGAGAGACCACATCAACAGCACCTGCCATGCATTATTAATAGGCTGAGATGGCAAGTATGGCTACCCACATCAATACTTAATGAGGGAAGGAGGGAGAGAGGGAGGGAGGGAGGAGTAAAGAGGGAGAGTTGAGGTTGGGGGATAGAGTGGGGCTGGGTTGAAAAGCAGAAAAGGGGATGGCTGACAATTTATTCCCTCGCCCCACCTTAAGGCTCCAGACCTGACAACTTCTTCTGTAAGTGAAACTGCAGTATTGTACCCATCTTCACTCTGCCTTCTGCACTGTCAGTCTCCAGGAAGGGGAAGGGGAAGGGAAAAAAAGAATCGCAAAAAGATAAACAGCGCTGTGTACAAATAAACAGAAACCCCTCAAAAGGGGGGAAATAAAACTACAACATTTCCCACCCTCCCCCTCCCTTTGAGGTAGCTCAAAGAAGTGCTGACAGCTGAAACTGCTTACAATACAGATCTCCACCAGCCAGAGAGAGAATCACTCCTTTGCTCAGCTTTTCTTTCATATGTCTTATTTTCTCCCCACTGTTCATTTGTTATGGCTACAATTCTGCACTGGGCAGCGTGTTTTGAGCCAACCGCCTTAGATATAATCATGCACGGGCAAGACACACACACTCATAGACATGTCAAGAGGAACACAGTAAGCAGGCCCGCTATGGACAATTGCTTCATCTGGACAAAAAAAAAGGAAAGAAAGAAAAAAGAGAAAGCCAGGAAGATAAATGGACAGAGCAGAGTTCTGTCTCAGTTCAAGGGCCGGCGTACTGCTGTGTGCATTACAGGCATCTGATGTAACTCGAGAGCTCGTGGGTTTATCCCCAACAACTTTTAAATGCATGACAGCTGGTTAGTGGTGGATGCTCCACTTCAAGTGAAGAAGAGAAAGCCTCTTATGATCTCAATAACAAACTGTCTTTCTCCGCTGATGGTTTTTTTTTCTTCCCCCCTTTCTTTTTCTCCCCTTTGGTTTTGTTTGTGTTCTGATTTATGATCTCGCTGGTGGAAGGGGCCAAATCTGAACGTGAAGGGAAGGGAAGAGGGAAAAAAGGAAGTATAAAGTGAGAGGATGAACTGGTGGAAGGATAGATGGAAGGAAAAGGTAGATGGAATGTGAAATTTGAAAGGAGAGACAGACCACCCTCCTGTATATTTCAGAAGCTGTAGGCCAATATCTCAATAATTCATGAAGCGGAGAGATGGTGGTTTTTCCTTTTTTTTTCTGTGGCTGTTAGACCTTACAGACCGAGGGTCTCCTGACTTTCTTATCTCTTCGAGGTCAAGGAGCAGCCTCACAGACAGCTGTGGACTACATCCACTTGTTCAACAAACTCCACCCTCCTCGCTGCACCTCTTGATTAATTCATTGATTCTACTCTTTCTCCAACATTTCCCTCTTTATTGACTGAAGGCAGGATGATGGAGAAATGCAGGGAGGAAAGTTGGGGTTACCTGGGTTAGAGGTTAAACATTAGGATTTTGAGAAAAAAGAAAGGGACGTTTTGGTCGTGGAAAAGCAGCTACTGAGATATCGGGAAAGCCGGCATGTCTTCTCCTGCATATATGGATAATGTGCTGAATTATTTACATGAATTAAGGTGTCTGGAGTCAGCTGCACGGAAACATTACAAAACCGGAGTGAGTTGATTCCCCCATGCTCATCTCCACAGGAGCCAAAGTCAGAGTTACCGGGACACATGTTTACATGGATCAGCAGTGTGTGTGGTGGAGCAGGAGTAGGATGGATAAAGAACAAATATGTGTCAATTTGTAATAGCAAAGGGATTTTCATACGGATTTACAAGTAATCGGATTGACAGCTGACCGGTAAATACAGCAAAAAAGAGGATAATAGCCTGTTATTCTCTCACTTTCTCTGTTTTTAGCCCACTATTATGGTCTTTTCAGCTTTTTGATAGAAAAGGTAGAGAACAGCTCTGTTTTCATTTTTCAGTATTACTATTAATATGATTTCATCTTCAACACAAAAGTGGGTTTGGTCACATCTCCTTTTGTCAACAGTGTATTAGAAGCAGGCGTGGATACCACCGTTTACATTCTCCAACTACAAAGTTACAGTGATACATGCCAAAAATCCTTAAACCTAACTTTTATAACCAACTGTTTTAAGATAAATGACACAGTTACATAAAATGTGTAGCAATCCAGTAATGAAATAACTAAAGAAAACATGAAAAATGTATTTTTACTCCAAGAGCAGTTAGACTGTTTAGTTTGTATTTATACTCTTTTATAGTTTATCATCTGGACTTCTTATTGATATCTTCAAATCTCAAACAGAAGGGAAAAAAACGAGCATCCCCTCCTCTGAAGACATTCACTTTCTGTTAATCTGTGGACTCCACTGCCTCGTGCATGGATGCGTGTTTCAGTTATTACCTCACCTATGTTTGTGTTTCAAACTCTCGCCGGTTTCAGGCTGTTCTAACTGTGCAGCCTGCAAATATTACTGCTGTAAATTGCCGCACCGGCTGGATTAAATGAAATAAAACCATTTTGCTCGCACGTAATTACCCCCAAATACAAAAACGGCTGCGGAAGTGAATTTGTGTAAATAACTGCTTGGCCTCTTGAAGCCTCATGGCGTAAATTTGTTAAAGCGAAAATGAACGAATAAACACATGCAGCCGGTCGCCGTGGTAATTTAATGATCTCACACTTTCATCATATCATAACGGGCATTATTTGTCACTTCGGAGCAATTAAACACAAAATCACCCCTTGCCCATAAAAAACAAAACAAGGAAAGTAATTATAACACAACTTTTAAGTAATCCCTGTAGCATCTAAATATGATTACTGTGGTGATAAAGATCGTCTAAGTGATTAGCTAACAGCAAAGAAGCCTTTGAGGGACAATTCTTTTATATTTTCTAATAATTTTCCTGCATTAGCCACAAATGAGGTAAAGAGTTGTTTTTCTTGTCAAATTTAACGGGGATAACTTTTGCCGTGGTTTTTATTTCTGTCATAGTTCTACTTTCCTACTTTTGGCCATTTGTTACTGGGTGGCTGATTGCTTTATTCTTTGCCCTTCCTCTCCATCAGTTTTGTTCTAACGCCAGTCTTCTGTAAAAAAAAGAAAAAAGAAACAATGTGGCTGATGCCGTAACTCAGCCCTCTTCTCTTCCTCCATCCATTTCTGCTGCACAGATCATCTCCACGAGAAACGCACTGTGTCTGGCTCCTAATACGCTTCATGAGGTGTGTAATTCACTGTGCTCCGGAGGGGAGCCATTTGTCTTGGGGGTTAACTAAGTGACACAACAGCACTTCCCTATGCCTGTTAGCACCGTGGGACATGTTGAACTAATCTAGGCAGGTAGAGGAATAGAAGACCCCGCACATTGGCAATTAAGCTCTAAGATTTCCTTTCCAGCAAATCGATTCTAACCAAGTCAGATGTAAGCTAAAATTAAGTGTGAATATTCTTTTGCAAATATAATGTTATTTAGCAAACAAAGGAAATAAAAAATGCAAAGAAAGAATGGCAGACTGACGTCAAAACTAAGGAAGAACTTTAGTGCTCTCCATGAATGGAGTATGGTTCTCATCTCATTCTTTTAGTATTTTCCTTACCTCCCCTTGTGTCTCATTTCTTGTTTCTTTTCTTTTCTGGGAAACTCTTTCTTTCACCCTTTTCCGCCATGCATCACTGACACTTCAACCAAGAGCCTGACTGGCTTGTTTTTTTCGGTGACCTGTCTCCCTGCCTGGAGTATATGTTTAAGCATAGAGGTGCACACCCGCCCATACACACATACACACACTAATTTAGGGAGATTTATGAGAGGGGCCCTACACCAGGAGCCATGCAGGCTGACCCCAGGGGTGTAGGGGGGCACTTGGTGGGGGAGGGCGTTTGGCTCCACGAGGGGGGACATTAATAATCCAGAACCAGGTCTGTCTCTGGGTCTGGCCTCGGACACAACGCTGCGACTGGCTGCGGTGGCCCAGTTTAGATAGACTGGAAAAAGAACGTCCGGGTCCTCGTACCATTCAGATAGACAGCAGGGGAAATGAATTTACCACATGAGGAAAATATGCCAGTGCACATACTGAGCACCCATACACACACTTAACTCCATTCCTTTGGAGTGCTCCATCTTAAAGTAGTGGTGGGCACTTCTGTATTGCGTCCATGTCTATCTTAAGTGTCATGATTTATTCAAATAGAACATCTCACTACGCTGAAAAATTCATTTCCAGCTCACTCCATGTGTCGTCCTATCCTCATCTTTATCTCCTTGATGTGTGTGCATGTCATGTCAGCTGAATTTGCCCTGTCATTAAATATTTCTCAGAACAAATGGACCCTGGAGGAGGGAGACGGCGGGTCATAGGGGATCCACGCTGTGCCTTGGCCGCTTGGGGAGAGGGCCCGCCTGGGAGAGATCGTTCCCCGCTTCCGTCGGATGCCGAATCTCTGGTCCCAGCTTGGGGACAGAAGTCCCAGAGACACTTAACCGATTGTGTTTCATCCATTTCATCCAAAAGGGATCATTCAAAATTCAACTGAGAAATCATCCAGGGTGAAGGGAAAGATAGGCAACAACGTTCCTTCAGTTTCGAGAAGAATGGAGCGACGGTTTCAACGACGTATAGTCTGATAATATCACTACCTGTGGGCTAGATTCACACCACAGCAACAGGAAAACAGGCAGCCAAATAAACATCTGTGCATGTGCGTGTGAGCGCATGTGTGTGCGTGTATCAAAGCCATGATGAATAAGGGCCTGTCGGGGTGATGGACAATCTTGGCAGGCGGTGCTGATTGAAACACTTCCTCTGTCGGGCCTGGCCCATTAATCTGACGGAGACAGAGACAAAGAGAGAGAAGGAGAAAGGCTCCAAGCCCCCAGAACACAGGAGTAATGAAGGGTCCTGGTCCCTCTCACCTCGGCGCTGTCCTGCCATGCCGGGACGCCGCGCTACCCTGTCCGGCTCCAAACCTTGCCCTCGTGGGACTGACCAGTGAATAATGGCCCTGTCATCAGCAGGGTAGACACCGCTGCACAGCCGAAGGGTGTGTGTGACCGAGCAGGCATATGTGTGCGTCCGGCCGCGTACCTCCGAGCACAGTCCTCTACCCGAAGTGCTCTCCTTCCTGACTTAGCTGAAGACTGATGCATTTCTATTGAATAGTGTTGATTTAAGCACACATTAAACTTAATGCATTATGCATCGGCTATATATAGCTTGATAAAGAGCGCAGTGTCAACCCGGGACCTGCACCATACATTGTGGGGATGAATGTGCCGCTTGCAAAAGTTCTTTCTTTTTGTTCCATTTAAGCACCATATTAAATCATAACTATGACTGTGACTGCACACGGGCTCAAGGTTACGTTTCTAAATGCAGCAGGATCAGAAATCAAAAACTTAATTAGTGTGCCATGTTTGTTCTTGGGTGAAAAGTTGTTCCCTCCAATGGGTCTTGAGGGAGGACGGTGAAGGCAGCAATTGGGAGAGACCAAGAAAAATGTCTGACAGAAAGAATGAGCGTGGCAGAGGGAGACTGATTCTGAGCAGAGACGCTTTCGATTGTGCGGGTTTGTGTGTGTGTGTGTGTGTTTGCATGTACATACATGTGCATGTGTGTTTTGGCCTTGCATCCCTCTGTGTTTATCAAACATATTACAGCTCCTTCTAGATTCCTCACCTGCACACCCCCAGCCTGCTACATATGGCCCACCAATCACAAAATACGGAATCATGCATACATTAGCATAGCTAATGGCCAACCCTCTCCATTTAATATGCAAATTTCTTGAAACATTACTGAATGCCTTCTGTTCTAAATGAATAAATTTGAATCGCAATTAGAATAATCCTTTATAATTAATGAAAACTGTCAATTTTGGTTCATAAGTAATTTGATTAAAGTGGTGATGGGACACTTATGAAGTTCATCGAGCTGCAAGAAGTGTGAGCGCGCACACATGGGTGTAAACACGTTCAAGCTATGAAACGACCAACACTAAGGTTGCATTATTGATGATGATGAATAAACTTATGAAAGCGATTGTCACACAAAACAGACCTTCCTGTTTTACCCTAACACAACTTTTTTCCTTTACCACTGGGGAGGAACAACACATCAATCACGCCTTTCTGCTGCTCGACAGACAGGGAAAAGTGAGGAAGTGATTGAAGAGGTTTCCCGGCCTCGTGGTGCTGTGTCAGTGGCCTGTCTGTCCGGCGGGAGACACTGATGGACTGTCGAAGCCGAGAGAGGGCTGCAAGCGCACATGCCAAGTCATTACAAAGGACTCAAATGGCCTTGTTTCTCACAGGAGGATTGGCCAGTGCCACTGTTTGTCTGGCTTTACTGGAATTAAATAGCGTGTTAAGGCGAGCGGGGAGAGGCCGGCGTGTGTGTGTCCAGCTCCTCACAGTGAGGCCCCCTTAGCCTTCACTCATGTTCGTACGCTGTGCTCAAACTGAAGCTTATGATGGCGTCCCTTCGATTAGGGACAGTCAGCTGAGGGGAAATCGTTGAAGCATTCTGCGCCGTGCATCTCTCGCTGTTAAAAGGTATGTCTTTGGCAAGTACACCCGTGTTTGCAACGCAAGCTTATGTATGCACGCGTGTTTTGATGGCGTCAACCCAATAATAATTGTCCAAAAAGTGCAGAGCGTTGGAGACTAATTAGCCAAATCACTGAGAAAATAGGAG